TTCTTACACATGCAGAATAAATAGTTTTGACCCAAAAATGCTGAGGTCAGAATCACTTTTCTCCAGAATTTGGGAATTACTACTCTATTTCTGTTAGCATTTTCATACTGTACATGAGACACTGCAATGCCAGGCTGATTCTTTTTCCTTACTAGACATTACATTCTTACTTTTTCTGAAATTATGTAGGTTTTTCTCTGCATATCCTAATAAATTAAAAAACAACAACAACAGTACTAGTATGTCTATGCATATCCCTTTTCCAAGACTCTGCCTGACATTTAGTATGCTCTTTTGACCTAAAGACTCAAGGATTTCTTCATCTGAGGAATTTTCTCTATTTGTTTGTTGTATCATCACTTTGTTTTTTACTTCTATGTTTTCTCTTTCTGTAATTCCCATTAGATAGCCCACCTCTTAGATTTATCCTGTGTATCTTCTCTTTTATCCATGATTTTAATTTTGTCCTTTGGGGCTGTATTTTGAAATAATGTTATTTTATCAGTTTATTATTTGACTGTTCAGCTATTTAGTGTTTATATTCTATTTATAATTTGGGTAAACATTTGTTTTCTATGAACTCTTTCTTGTCTTTCAATTCTTTTTTTTTAAGTACATGTTGCTCTTTGAAAATTATTATGCAATCAGATTGATAGCATAAAATTTTAATTTTTATTCCTGCTTCTTTCATTAGATCAGTTCACCTAACAAAAGAGCATGAAAAGTTAAAAAAAAAAACAAAAACTAAAAGATATTGTCAGAGACAAAAACAAGATTAATATATCCTTGGCAGAAATGGGAGAGAAATGCATAACACCTATTAAGGTAAGGTGAGTGGGCAAAGGACATGAACAGAAATTTTTCAAAAGAAGACAGAATAAAGGCCAACAAACATATGAAAAAATGCTCAACATCTCTAATCATCAGGGAAATGCAAATCAAAACTGCAATGAGATATCACTTATCTCCAGTAAGAATGGCCTTTATCAAAAAGTCCCAGAACAATAAATGTTGACGTGAATGCGGAGAGATAGGAACACTCCTACACTGCTGGTGGAACTGCAAACTGGTTCAGCCTCTGTGGAAAGCAATATGGAGATACCTTAAAGCGATACGAGTAGATCTACCATTTGATCCAGCAATTCCACTACTGGGCATCTACCCAAACGATCAAATGACACTCTACAAATGGGACACCTGCACTTGAATGTTTATAGCAGCACAGTTCACAATCGCAAAGGTGTGGAAGCAACCCAGGTGCCCATCAATATATGAGTGGATTAATAAAATGTGGTATATGTATACCATGGAATACTATTCAGCTTTAAGAAACAACGGTGATATAGCACCTCTTATATTTTCCTGGATAGAGCTGGAACCCATTCTATTAAGTGAAGTATCTCAAGAATGGAAAAACAAGCACTACATATACTCACCAGCAAATTGGTATTAATGGATCAACACCTAAGTGGACATATAGGAATAACTTTTATGAGGTGTTGGGCAGGTAGGAGGGGTAGGAGGGGATGGGTATATATAAACACAATGAGTGAGATGTGCAACGTTTGGGGGATGGTCACGTTTGAAGCTCTGACTCAAGGGGGGGGATGGGCAATATACATAACCTTAACATTTGTACCCCCATAATATGCTGAAATAAAAAAAAAAAGTGAAGAGAGTTTACAGCACTGGCTAAGATTTTGGTTCCCACTGAGTATTTGGGTTTAAATGTAATGCATGCGAGATGGCAGACCGGAATCAGGCAGCAAAGGATACCACAGCAGAGTGGAGCAAAACACTCAAGATAAAAAGGAAAAAAATAGCAAATAATATATAAACAATTACTGTCAACCTAGAATATTATATTTTGCTAAATTTTTATTCACAAAAGAAGCCAAAAATAAGTGTATTTTCATACATACAAAGATTTAGAGAGTTTGACAAAAGATGTTCTTTCTAATAGAATAATTAACAAACATTGTAATGGGGTTTAGGGCTTTAAGTGCATATAGAGAGCCTCACATCGCCAATACAGTATGTCTGTTAATGATGACTTCAAGTATGATACTAGACAGCTATATATACATATATATTATATAAAATTATTTATATGTGTTATGTGTGTATATATACATGTATGTATATATACACACACACATGCATACGATTGTGTTGTTTACATAAGAAACAGGAGAGATCTCAAGAAAATACGGCAAAATGTTCACATTGGTTAGGTCTGTCTGTATGTTAGTATTAGATATGCCAATCCCTATTTTTCTTTCTGTTTGAAATATTCCATATTAAATACTTTTTAATAACTTCAAAACAGAAAGTCAATAAATATGGCTCATACAGAAATATAGACTCTAGGCATCTGAGAATATCAGTAGTTGTTTCCTCTCAGGCTCATAAGATCATTGGTGCTGAGGCTGTTTTTTATGCTTATCATAGTAATGCTGCCTACTGTGAATCATTTTTTAAAAAGACAATTTTTAAATCAGCCATGCATCTTTGAAAAATATTTTTCCACTATTTGAATCTAGCTTTACTTGAGTTGTAAGTCTTCTTATTTGGGGAGAGGGGCTGGGTTTGGCAGGATTGTTGCAAGAGAATGGTGAGAGAAAAGCAAGTGCTGTCTCCCCTGGTGAAGGGGGACTATCTTTAACAGTCTCTTTCCTTGGATTCATAAATGGATTTCTGCCTCATCTTGCAGTAAATCTGAGACCAAAAGAATTCATAGGGCCTCCTAATGCACGTAATGCAGCATGACTGATGAAATGTGGCAGGCACGACCCAATATCTAGTTTTCTGAAAACCACACTGAAATGAACCATCCTGGCCAGAAAGTTAAAACAATACACAGACTTGAACAACCACCAAAGTTATTTTCCTTGATTCAGTTGTATTCTCAGGCACTTTGCAATTTGGATTACAAAGCACTGTGTATTTTCTGATGGCGGGTGACAGCTACTGTTTATTCCCAGAAACTCAAATTAATGGTTTTGTTAAATCGACTTTCACCACTGCACACATAAGTCATCCCCTGGGGATCTGTCTAAAGGTCTAAGCCAGTTTCATGTACTTCGAAATGAGTGCTCTTAAGCAAACAGCAAGAAAATTGGTTACCTGAATCTTGAAAGTCAATTGAGGTGCTGCCTGCAAGGACATAGGAGGGTCAGAAGAAATAGGTATAAAATAAGAACCAACTTCATTGGCCCTTCCCTCACATAACAATTATGTCCAGGAAGTGGACCAGTGACTCCAACACAGTAGGAAAGGCTGGGATTAAGAAGACCTCGGTTCCGGTTTAGTTCTTTTCCAAAGTCTCTCTCAGCCTCAGTTGTCCCATCTGTAACACTTGACTCCAGCTTCCTGCGTAATGATTCCTAGATGAAGATGAAATGGAATTACAAATAGGAAAATATTTTTCAGATGATAAGACACCATACATGTATAAGAGATTAGATTACATTGTAGATAGCTGGTTGAAATTTGCAAGCTAGTGGCTTGGACTCAGTGAATACAACAGACTGAACCACATTTGACTTGTGTCTGAGAGGGTCCTGTAAAATGAGAGTAACCATCTTAAATGGAGCACCTTTTAAAGCTGTTGTGAGAAGCATATGAGAAAATAGATGCAAGATCACACTGCAAAGTTTAAAAAATGGGACAAATATCAAGTGTAGTTATTTTTGATGAGCATTCTGACTCATCAGAATCTTTACGTTTCTAAAGAAGCACCTTCTGTAATATGTTGATGAAAGAAGCAAATAAATACCAGTTATTAGCAGTAATGCCTCATGAAACCACTTTAGGTCTTATTAGGTGGGTCAGATTTGTCTCAATTATTTTGGTATTTTATATAGAAGTGTGGGATTTTTAATTTTTTCTTTTATCTGAGTCAGCTGGGTTTGTTCTCGACTTCATTTTTTATTGGGCATTCTGAAATGAAATGATTAACCAACACAGGAATTGCATGCTCATTTGGGGGGATTCCGAAGACAACATGTAAAGGAAGCTACAGAAGTTAGGTCATGGCAAATGTCTTATTTAGAGTGAAAGTGGTATGTTTTCTTTAGCTATATAAATTTCCCAAATACTGGCCTGTCTAAAACACCTAAAAATCAATATCATCTACTCAAAGATCATAAGAAAGAACACAAGTGGGTTATACTGAAACCATAGGCCTACTTTAAGTGCTTGAAAACTAAGAAAGAAAAGCCATGGTCGACAAGGATTTGATGCAGATTCAAATAAAGCCCTTGTCAGAGCAATGTAGCAGCAGGAGTACAAGTTAGGGATCTCTGGCCTGGGGGCAGGCACTTAACTCCCACATTTGTTTATTCTCCTGTAACTTAGCGCTATGGTACCTGCTCTTTTCCGTACAAGGCTGTAAATGGGAATGTGGTTTCAAAAATATAAAGCCCTGTGGAAATGCAAGTCATCTTGGTTACACTGGCATACAATTCAAGGAGTTGTTTCTTTTCCTCCACTCTGTTCTGGCCATCAGAATCATGAGGTATTCACATCATATCCAAAAGCAAAATTTAGTACCCTTTCCCCCAGCCAAAAAAAAATGTATATGCACTATTTTGCATGCTATAACACAGAGTTTGCAACCTGGTGTCCACAATCCTGAGGGAGGTCCATGGATTCACTTCAAGGGGGTCTCTATTTCCTCTAAAATTTTATTATACCTGTATTTGTTTATGTAGTCAATATATGTGTGTACGTACCCACACCAAAAGTCCTGTATTTTATCAAATTACCGAAAGAATCCATGCTTTGCTTAGTGAGAGGCATCCCCTCCTCTCTGTAGTTATACATCCCCTACATAATCTGTATTTCATTGTAATTGTTTCCATTTTTAAAAGGGAGAAAGGGCTGCAATATATTTAAACTGAACAATCTGTTCTCAATGTATTCCCTAAACACATTTATTTCTACAAAGGTTGCCATTTCTTGAAGTTTTTATTCTGTGTACTCTCGTTTTCTGGCAGGCATTGAAATCGCGTATTTCAATGAAGATTCGGGGGTGACTCTGAAGGCCAAGATCCAAAGATGGCAACCAGGAGGCTTTGCTGCCTTGATAAATCCTGAGCCATTCTTTGATGGAAAAGGATCATAAATGTGCTCAGTAGAAGTAGCACGCTACAATTTTGAAAGCTAAAGATTTCCATTGCAGTCTTAATGCAGACTGGCCAGCGGACAATTTCTTTCTCTCAACTGCCTTATTACCTAGTTGGTTGAGTGTTTCCTGTTAATACTCAGAACATAACAATCCTCCCAGTGATGGCCACGGGCCCTCTGCCATGCTGCTGCTGTATCAAAGGCAGGCCTCTGTGGTCTTAGCAGAGGACTCTGCCCCGTCACAAACAAGTCTCTGCTGCATTGACTCATGGATTCTCAATTCAGTTGGAATGATGCTCATTTTCTCCCAATGTCACAAAAATGATATCTAAGTTTCCTTTCATTCTTAAACTCTAGGATTGCCATGTTTACCACAAGGAAGTATTTGTTCCCTTCTGTTAACCACTTGGTAAATAATACATTTTTGTAAACCAAGGCTGATTGTCATGGAAGCAACAGAGCCCAAACCATAGACATAAGGCTTGAAATTTAATGGTACTAAAGATCCAACCAACGGCAGCAGATTGAGTACTTCTTGATCGCAATAATCAAAATGGACCTTGCCAACGCTTCATAAGGTAGAGAGGGCTGGAAAAATTGCCATTATCTGGTTGTTTTTTGTTATCAGATTCTATGCAAAACCTTCAGCTTTTTAAAAGCAATATTTAAATGGCCTCAAATCTCTTCCCTGTAGCATAGTAGAATATTGTAATGATTTTACAGTGTTTTGTGCTTTTGGTATTATTTACAATAAGTATACTTCATTTTTTACAAAAAAATTAAGCTTTTTTTTAAAAGAAAAGCTTCCACAAAAGTTTTTGTCACCAATTTATGAGTATGATTATTTTAAAAAAGAAATAGGAGAGTGGTGGTTAATGTGCCTACATTAAAGCTTAATAAAATCAACTTCCCATCAAGTACCTCTAAATCAATGACTAATCCAACTTTTTAAAAAGTCCACTAGAAACATTTTTTTACATATAAATGACAATCAATAAAGAATAAACAATATAAAAATGTGTTTAATCATTTCTTGAATTTCCATCATGTGAGTTGGAGTTTGGTGTGCAAATACAGTGGTTTGTTGTGAAAATATGACGTACATGGATTGAATTCGTGGCCAAAATAGCAAACAAATGGTTATTTTTACATGTTTTGGTGTTTAGTCATAGTACTCATTTTCTTTGAATGCAAATATATGTCTACATATGCATGTATACATATGTGAATACATACACATACTTCTGAAATTCACACACTCATAGATGTAGATATTTTCATCTTGAATCTCCTTTTGTTTTTATTTAAAACTGAAAAGTTTAGTTAACATCGCAAGTTTCAGTATCAGATTTTTACAGGCAGAATGCAAACAGCAAGGGGGTTAAAAAGCAGTTGCTTCTTGCATGTATTTGCCTCAAAAGCATCTTATCTAGTGCTGACCCCATTGGCTGAAACTGTCTTCTCTTGTGCATTGTACTTGATTTGGTGTGTCACCTGTCTCTTGTTTGTCTATAGATTAGCACAAAAATGTCATTGCAAACTAAGTGAATAGGGCACAGCCTCAGCACCTGCCACTTTTAAAACTCTTTAGAAGATTCCCTTGTTTATTTTGTAGGCACCCAGGGGGGCACTTAAATAACTGCATTGAAACAAACAATACTGGTGATGATTAAGAAGGCTTTTCACATGAAAATTCACTTCAGAAAAATGTTTTGCAGATGTACTGAAGAAAACTGTATCACTAAGAACCACTCAAAATACTTTGGTGGACCAAAACACCTTTATATTTCTTCTGGCAACCTGCCAAGTTCACTGCCAGCTTGAAAAGAATTCTATAGCTGGAGGCTAGAGCAGAAACTGCAATGATTTAAAAGAGAATTGGCTACAGTAAGAACGATAATGCCCTATATAGTTAAAATGCAACTGGCATCTCAGCCTCCCTACAGCTCTTTGAAAATGTGCTTACTCTTCAACTATTTACAAGGAAAAATGCGGAGACAATTGAAATCACAGGAAATAAAAATTATTTTAAACGGCTGAGAAGTATTTGCCAAATGATTTATCAGTAGTGCTTATAAAATAATGGCATATTCTTAACTGTTAAATGAGTAAGAAATCCATGCAGAAATTCTACTCATTATGAAAGTCACCCATCACATGCAAACCATTTTCATGATGCCCTAAATTAATTAAATGCACATTGTAAACACAAAACAGTTGGCTTAATATTAAGATGTGTACACAAACGGACAACATCCTGATATTATTGGTTTATCTTAGCATTTGACAGAAACAAAGAGACCTTTGGTTAGTTTTCTGGATGATTTTGGAGAACGAATATTTGGTTGGCAAGCTAAGGAAAATCACAGAGTCCATGGACTAAATTAAAAGGGATCTCCTAGGTGTTTATACAAAAGCCAAGAGGAACATCTGTCCAGTGGTTTAGATTATAATGAGCAACAAGGACATAGCTATAGATTTACCATTCAACATGTTATACAAAAAAAAACCTTATTTATTTCTCATGTAACAATGAGTAAAATTCTCCTTTCAGTTGGATACAAATACCTCTCTGTTTAAATTTGCTGTGGTGAATACACGAATGTCAATGGGGAAGCCAAGAGTAATTTGCTAGAAAACTCACTATGGGAACTGTGGAGAGCAAGCACTCCATTTAGCACATCAGTCCTTTGATGCATGCCAAAACTTAAATAAGGCGTGCTGGTACCTGGCCTCAAGGGGCTTAATGCACAGGGTGCAACAGATGTGTAAATATATAATATCAGCCAAGGTTAAAAAGTACACTCTTGAAAGTGTGTATCAGGTACAGTGAGAAGACAGAAGACTGATGAGGGAATATTTTTCTAAAAACTTAAACATAATCACGTAAAAATTGGGGAATTGTAACTGGTAATTCTAATCCAATCTACACATTTCCATCCCAACAGCCATGTCTATCTCTACAGTCAAGAAGTGGGTTCTCAGTTATACCTGCCACTAATTAGCGACCTCTTTCCCATTGTGGAAACAAAGAGTCACCTGTCAAACATGGAAAAGTCTCTACATTCCTAACCTAACACCAAGAATTTAATGCAACATGCATTTACTATTTCATCCTCTCCCCGTTGTTTTAAGTCCTATCAATATGCTAAATCTGTATTTATAGGCTGGACCCACTTCCTGAGTTCCAGACCCATAAATTTGACTTTCTTCTTGATTTCTATATGTGTCACCTCCAACTCAATGTGTCCCAAACTGAACTCATGATCTCTTGTAACATTACTTGAACCTGAAGCCATCATCCATTATCTAACCATGCAGTTGCCTGAGGCCAAGCCTTGGGTGTCAGCCCTGGCTTTCTGTTCTGTATGTCCCCCACTCTCATATCCAATCATTCTGTCAAATCTAGTCCTATGGATTCCACCTTCTTAGTACTTTCCAAATAATATCCATTGCCTCCACCTACCCCCCCCCATACCTAGTGTTCAGGCACCATTGTCTTTCACTAGATTGCCACAGTGGTTTCCTAACTTGATTTCCAGCTGCTGCCTTGTCTGCACATAAACAAATCTACAGCAGCTAAAACAATCCTTCTAAATTCAAATTTTGGTTTTTCCACTACCCTACCTGAAACTACACAAAGGCTGCCCACTGGCCATATGATAACACATAATCATAAGGCAGTTTCTAAATATCTCTCCAGGTTCATCTTTGCCCAGGCCCCAGGTCACATTCCAAAATAGCCAAGTTTTCTAGTCTCACAAAAGCACCAATGCCAGAAAAGTCCTTCTGTCACCTTATTGCTGACTAACTCCTCTGGTCCTTTGGATTAAGCATAGTTATAACGATTACCTCTTTCAGGAAATCTTTGCTGACACCCCGATGGCTGCCCTAGATCCTGTTTTCCTGTGCTTATTAAAATCTTAACATACAGGCATACTTCATTTATTGCACTGTATTGTGCTTTGCAGATACTGTGTTCCTGCATCAGTCAAATTTAACAGTGTAATTTCTCCAAAAGTATGAGCTCATTTTGTATCTCTGTGTCACAATTTAGTAATTCTTGTAATATTTCAAATTTTTTGTCATTATGATATCTGTTATGGTGAGCTGTGATCAGTGATCTTTGATTTTATCATTATGATTGTGTTGGGGTGCCACGATCTGTACCCATATAAGATGGCAAACTTAATCTGTAATCTTGTGTGTGCTCTGACTACTCCACCTACAAGCTATTCATTCCCCTTTCTCTCATCGTCTCCTCAGGGCTCCCTATTCCCTGAACCCATAGATCAAGGAGTTATTTTGACTTCCAGGTCTTATCATTTTAGAAATAGATTTCATGAGACTATAGCTGCCATAGATAGTGATTCTTCTGATGGATCTGGGCAAAGAAAATCGAAAACCTCTGGAAAGGATTCACCATTCTAGATACTATTAAGAACATTTATGAGTCATGGGAGGAGGTGAAAATATCAATATTAATAGGAATGTGAAAGAAGTTGATTCCAACCCTTGTGGATGACTTTGAGGGATTTAATACTTCAGTAGAAGTAACTGCAGATATGATAAAAATAACAAGAGAACTAGAAATAGTAGAGGAGCATGAAGATATAACTGAATTGCTGTAATCTTATGATAAAATTTGAACGAATGAGGAGTTGCTTCTTATGGATAAGCAAAATGGTTTCCTGAGATGGAATCTACTGCTGGTGAAGATGCTGTGAACAATGTTGAAATGCCAACAAAGGATTTAGAATATTCCATAAACGTAATTGATAAAACAGGTGTAGGGTTTGAGAAGATTTTTAAAATTTTATTTATTTTTCCTATTTCAGTAGATTTAGGGGTACAGGGGGTTTTTGGTGTGAGGTCTGGGCTTTTAGTGTACCCATCAGCTGAATAGTGTACATTATACCCAACAGGTAATTTTTCACCCCTTACCCTCTTTCTAACTTCCCCCCTTATGAGTCTCTAGTGTCCATTATTCCACTATGTATGACCCTGCATACCCATAGCTTAGCTCCCACTTGTAAGTGAGAACATATAGTATTTGGTTTTTAGTTCCTGCATTACTTTACTTAGGATAATGCCCTTCCATTCCATCCAAGTTGCTACAAAAGACTTTATTTCATTCTTTTTTTATGGCTGAGTAGTACTCCCTGGTATGTATATGTATATATATATATATACCACATTTTTTTTATTTACTCATTGGTTGATGGGCACTTAGGTTGATTCCTTATCTTTACAATTGTGAATTGTGCTGTGATAAACATACACATGCAGCTGTATTTATGACATAATGACTTCTTTTCCTTTAGGTAGATACCCAGTAGTGAGATTACCGCATCAAATGGTAGATCTACTTTTAGTTCTTTGAGAAATCGCCACAGTGTTTTCCATAGAGGTTGTACTAATTTATATTCCCATGAACAGTGATTGTGTTCCCTTTTCACTGCATCCATGCCAATGTCTATTGTTTGTTTGAGTTTACAATAATGGCCATTCTAACCGGAATAAAGTAATATCTCATTGTGGTTTTAATTTGCGTTTCCCGGATGTTGAGCATTTTCTCATATGTCTTTTGGCCATTTGTATATTTTCTTTTGAAAAATATCTGTTCATGTCATTTGCCCACTTTTTAATGTTTTTTTTTTGTTGTTGTTTGTTTGCTTGT